TAATTTAATGTATTTATGTAATCTGCAATAGCTAAAACTGCAATGAAAATCACAGTCTCTACAGGATTCGAACCTGGCTATCTGACCACTACCTGAATTATAAGACTCAGATGCCTTTTAAATTATTGTTTCACTGCACCCGTCATAGGGGATGCTTTTCCTATCAATCGTAATTATATTAAGTTGAACTGAAGCGAGTAGACTGTTGCATCCACCACGTCGGACCAGTTCTCCGGTGATAAAATATCCGCCAGTCACGTACGTCGTCCAGGCTTAATTCCCAGCCCATACACTATTATTGCTCGCTTAGGCGCTACTAAGCCCAGTATAGAGAGGAGGTTGCATGTGAGGCTAGCAACATGACACCATAAAAAGTACCACTCCCACTGAGCCCTACGTTCCGCTCAGAAAGCAAAGCGGTATTAAAGATTAGATTGTCAAACTGATATTGCAATGAATGGTGAATACCAGTGAGGCTTCCCTCAGCTCAGCTGTCAGTAGACTGTCGATCTGTTTGTGAGAAAGCTACTGGTGGGAGTTGTGACGCACACACACACACACACACACAGCAATAACTTCATTCAGAAGTGAGGATGCAAATTTTCAGCTGGCATGAATGTTTAACATTCCTTTCCCTTATTCTTATTATTCAATAGTGAATAAGGGAAGAGATTGTTTTTGTTTCATTTTATAGACTTTTGACCTTGAATTTTATTATGTCACGTGATGATAATTTTTCTTCATCGTGTGTTATTTCGATTTATTATTGATCTGTATAGTTAAATTTTTGCATATATATGTAAAACTTAGGCACTATAGTATTATGTACTTGTATATCTATCTATCTGTTCATTGCATATATTTCACAGTAAGACAGTATGATTTGCTGAATGATTTGTCGGACACCATTTATTGTACATAAACATACCATCCAGTGAATAATACTGTTCTTTTTGTAACAGCAGAATAGGGTAGTAGTTGTAGTATTAGACAGCAGAATTGTTTACTGGTGAATGAACAAGGAGAATGAGCCACAGTTGGATTTTAAAATGATGATGATGATGTCCTAACTTTTTCACTTTCAGACGAAAACGTGACCTACAACAACTAGCTAGCTCACATGGTCCCACTATCATTGACGGCATAGAGGTTGAAACTACATCTAATGTCAAGTACCTTGGACTGAGTATTTCCTCCGATCTTTCCTGGTCCTCTCACATCTTGCTAGTTACTAGAAAGTTGTTTCGCTTAACGTTCTACGTTAGGAAGTTAAGGCAGTCTGGTATAAAGCAGTCTTTGCTTTCTGAGTTCATCAATTCTTGAATTCTACCCATCCCTCTTTACTGCTCACCATTAATCTTTCCTGGACTACTTAAGAAAGACTTTGCTTTGCTGAGAAGGGCACTAAAAGCTGTTATTAGGGGAAGTGGGATTTCGTTAAACCAACTGGTTAACACTATTGTGGATAGACATATAATGTCATGTAAGAAACTAGCGAATTCTGACCCCGAACACCCTCTCCATACGCAGCTCTCTCCTTGCATTTCATCTGGTAGAACTAGAAGCAACTATAGGAAGCTATATGCCAGGACCACCAAGTATAAAACTCCACAATACCTTATATGGCACAGCTGTTATGTGATGAGAAAACTGTTAGGCATGACACGATCACCTTACTGCGGCACTCTAACAAATAGTTCCCATTAGCTTTCCTTCTCCTTTCTTTGTTACTATGATATTGTTGCTCACATATTTTATTACACACTAATTTTATATTTCATATCCTGTGGTGCATTGTTTAATATATGTGAATGCAATGCTGTTCTTTTTATTTCTTTTATTTATCTTTTTTTCTTTTTGTTGTTGTTGCTTTCTATTTTTAAAATCTTATAAAAATTTATGAGGTAATTAGATGCAATATTGTAATGCACGCTGAAAATTCCATACCTGTACCACAAATACTGTTTGGAATAAAGCTATTATTACTATTATTATTAAAACGAATAGGAGAAGGTAAACTGTACACTAGCATTTATAAAACACCAACGCATTCTAATAGATATTTAGACTTTAATTCATCTCATCCGTTCGTTAACTGTTAAGGCAGGCTTAGTTAAGTGTCTAACAAACCGAGCAGTAGCACTAAGTAGTACAAAAAAGACCGAATTGATGAAATGGAACAGACAGACGAAGCGTTGGTATCAGCGATTGCAGTGCACTGCATGCATTAACAATAGAGTGGGACAGAGTCAAAATTCTAAAAAGTATTATAGGTAGGTGGAAAGAGAGAGAGAATGGTTGATTACTGAGTCCTTGTTTATCGAGTCTACACCCAACACGTGCAATAGGAATGACTCATCACTCATACCGGAAAGATGGAAAATACTACTACCAATCATGTCAAGCGATGAAAAATAGTAGGACTTCTGATTCGCTCTAGCTGGCCATTTGATCTTCAGTATAGAGTTAGCGAAAGCAGCTGTTAATGAAAGCCCGCAGCTGCCTTTTGGAAGTGCTTTTGGTGAGGCGCTAGCCTAGTTGCTGACCTGTATAGAAGAACTGACCGACTAAACGTCGGTGTTCAGAATGTTGTCCTTATGTTGAGTGCAGATCTCCAGACTCATATTAGAGTGAGTGGTGAAGTTGCAGATTGCCTTCCCGATTCTGGTTGGCATTGACATCCTTCATCAATTCTGCTTGTGGTTGAAATCGTACTTTCTAGATAAATGAACCAAGTAACTCCTTTCAAATTTCTCCCGTGGACGGCGACTGGTGGTTGATTATCGTCATCACTTTCATCTTATCTATGTTCACTTGGAGTCCTGTATTCACCACCCGCTTTTTCAGACAGTTTTGGGGGTTTTCTTCTGTAAATCTTCGAGTTTGTATGACAGTAAACATAAATCATCCACGCGCGAAATGCGGATCTTTTAGATTCTTCAGATCAGTCAGTGGATCGTATTCCTGTCTTCTCACTCCCATGCACATTCTGACTCATAATCTAGTCCACCACAATTAGGAATGTCGTCGGTGATAATAGGCAACCTTGTCTTACTCCTGTATTCATTTTGAAGGCTTCTCTGAGTTTTCCGTGGCATTCTCCCTCTAACCCTGTGAAACTTGCAACGAAGATTATATAATATTGAGCGAAATGATTGTTTCGTTCAAGGTCATTCGACTGTGGTATCTGTTCTTTACTCTTGCCAGGGAAAAAAGAGCTACTTGCTCAACGAGACACAGTCAATCGCGAAGCTTTCGTTGTCCATTTAGACAACATCTTCAGCACAGGTTTTATACTAAACTCACACACCCAACCTCCCATCTTTACCGGGCTTACTAGCGGTTAAGCGAGACTCAGGAGCACGTCAGTCGGATATAAAACCCCAGGACACCTTGAATGACTGGTAAATATTCTACTACTCAGCAATTAACGTACCGAAATGTTGGAAAACAGGGGGGAGTAGTGGACAGCTGTTTCGTCCCGGTTTGGAACTCTTCGTCGGTACGCGCCCAGCGTCGTTTGAATCCAGAACGCATGGAGAGCTAATAGATCCTTTAGCCGGTGAGATCCATGTACTCCTCCGACTGAAGTATTCAAATTCTATGGTCAAAAAGAGGTTTGACAGTCGTTTTAATTGTCCATTTAGATATTACTTCTTCGCTATACGTACCCACCCAAGTATTTCAACAGGCACCATTATACTGAGGGTGTGTAGCATAGAAGTTTGTGTAAAGACATATGCACTGATGAACTAAATCGCATCTACTTTTCACATGTATATATATATATATATATTTACAATAAAATAAAAGTAATGAAAAGAGAAGTAAGTATTAAGGAAAAACAAACACAATTATTTTCCCATATTTTTTTGTGTTTGTTTGTTTGTTATTTTTACTTTGAAAAACTCAATAATTTAAGAAAAAGACCAGAGTATGCACATACTCACATACACACACTTAAACACACACACACACAGAGGGATGTAATTAACTAACACTAATTTATGGGAAAACCATTTTGTGTACAACGCAGTAACGGCGGGGCGGGGAGGCACCGCAGAGGCCAGCGGCTGCTGTCGCGGGGACAAGGTCAGATTGAAAAGAAAAACAAAGAATGAAAATAATGATATGACAGACTAATGATGGTGTTGATGACAATGGATGAGATCAACAGAAAAAAAAGAAGAGCAAAAAGGTTCCCTGTTTCCTTCTCTTATCCCCCTCTCAATCAGTAGGTGGGCAGGGAAGGAAGGAAGGAAGACAACTGACGAATTACGACTGACATAAACGAACGTGCGCATAGTAAAGGTATGGAAAACGATGAATTCCAGGAAGATATTTTTGGTGGTGGTTTAATTTTCTTCAAGATATTAAAAAGAGAAAGAAACAAACTGAAAGATTCCATTCGACGGTTATCATCGGAACAACGACAACAACAACAATAACGATGACGAATAGATTGATGCGTCAGGAGCGATGATATACACTGACGCAAAAAGGTTGAAAGAACAAAGGTTTTCAAAAAAACACGCTGCTACTCTCACTAACAACTATACCAACAGGTTTAGAAGAGGGGAGTACACAGAGACAGAGAGAGGGAGAGTGGTTGAGGGGGGGGTACAGGCAAAATACGCCAAAATCAAAATGACGAAGGAGGCGGGAAAACCAATAGAGAAAGAAATAAAATAGGCAAAACAAGATAAACTTTATGGTATTGAAAAAAACAAACAACAAATAAATTGCTGCGATTAATTTCATTTTGCATTTTTGAGCAAAAAGAGTTAAACAACACGATTGTTTCTGCTGTTTCTGTCTCACCAAGACTCTAATATATATATGCGTGATGGATGATGGATGAAGATGATGGTGACGATTGTGTTCCCTGTGGTCAACGCGACGCGATGAGTGATTATACACGCACGCGCACACTTACACACACACACACCCACAAACATGCATACAAAGAAAGTTAAAATGACTAGTTTTATATTTTGAGTTCACTGCTCATCGACAACATTAGGATTCGATGGTGCTGTAGACGACGACGGTGACGCTGTTGTTGCTGTACTAGTACTAGTTGGCATAATTAAAGGCTGAATAATCTCGGCATAATATGAACCGAATACATGTCGATTATGCGCCAATAAAGGAAGTAGACGACTGGCTAAACCGGATAAACTTAATATTTCAAATTTTGACGTTTTATAACCACCACTTTCCGATTCATGACGGAGACGATTATGTGGACTGGACGGAGGTGGTGATGAAGGCGGACGTAAACTGCTACTAGCAGCTGAAGCATTAGCTCCACCACTACCAGACACCATTGTTGTCGGGATATTCAGTGGAGTTTGATGCAGGTAGGCAGCACCATTATTGCTTGTAGTGCTAAGTTTATTCTGATCAAGATCTAAGAGAATACTGAATCCTGGCGGTAGGGGTAATGGTTCTGGTGGATAAGATGATAGAGCAGAGCGTAGAAAATCCATAGCTCGTTTATCTAAAAAACAGGGATGAAAAAAGAATGAAAAATCAATAATCAGTCTTTCTATTATTCCCTTTGAACTTTCAGTGGAGCATATAGACCATCAAACATGAAGTTTCAGCAGCAGTGGTGTCTTTTTTAGACGTCACGCCAAACTTTCCCTCTTTATCAGGCTTACCACCAGTCAAGTGAGGTTTATGAGTGCGTTGGCCTGGAATCGAATCCCATACCGCACCTGCGTGGATGACAACTATACTATCAGTCGGTGCTACTTCACTCCATTGAACAATGTATTCATCAAGTTGATTTACTACCAATTCGTATCACGTACCAAATGACTTTAATAAATACAACCAATCATATCTGAATACGGTATTGATCATTCATCAGGAACACGATAGTACAGAGCGCTTGAAGGTATACGGGAATCTAAACACATAAGTAGTCATTACAGTGAGCATCACTATCGACACACGAGAAAACGTTGATGCGCCGTGATCCTGGTTATTATATTTTATATTACAGAGGGAGAATGAATAAATGACTGACGTCATCCAGAAAGCCTATATTTATCAACAACATTCATTATTTCATGTTACTTTCAAAAAGGGAACAGATAAGAAAGTTGAGGTATGTTTGCAATTCTTGGCTATACCTGATAACGTTTCGAGCCGCCGATTCGAAGTATCTTTCATACCGCAACCGGGGAGTCATGATGTACCAACCGGTGTTAGCCATGTCTAGCCATCACCTTCCTCGACAATGGGCAATCTTAGCTGACATAAGATGGACCAGGTTGGAAAAGAGAAGGCTAGTGGTGGTCAAACCAAAATATGGTCTCATCAACCAATGAAATCCGCAACGGTTAGCTTAAACTAGTTAAGTAGGGAGGTGTAGACTTCCTGACTGGTTGAGGTTCTCGGGATGGTAGAAACCAATAGCTGGAGACAATCGGTGATATGATTCAAAATCGTTATCTTTATGATCTATAATATCCAATAAAATTCTATTGTTCTGCCATATTAATATTCTTGTTGCCCCACATTTCTGTTTCTTATCCCTCTTTTCAACCTCCTTTTACTCTCTTCTCTTGTGCTTTGTGTGCTAAATGTAGGGAGTGTGGCAACTGGAACTGCTGGATATCAGTGCAAAGTTCTCCGTTGAAACCAATCAATCAGTTAGTTCTTCTAAATGGGTCAGCGGCTTAGCGCGTCACGAAACGCAAATCTAACAGGCTGCAGGTAGATAGCTTCGCTCCATACTGATGATTAGACGGCCATTCAGAAAGGATGAGCAACAAGAAACTCTGAGAACGAACCAACAAACAAACAACCTATTCCTCAGAAAATATGCTAAACAAAATGCAGATGGTTGGGACACACGCTGAGGAGACCTGTGGATGACATCATGCATACGTCAGGTTCTCGAGTGGAACCCGAATGGGAAACAACGAGTGGGGTGTCCGAGAGTGAAATCAAGGAGAACGTGTGAGGAGATGAGTGACTATGGACAATCATGGAGCCAGCTAGAAGAGGAACGCGAAGAACGGGACAAAATGGAGATGTGCTGTCTTCGACTAGAAACCCAAGAGGGTAATAATAATAATACTTATAATAATAATAGTTGAATAAACTCGAACACTTGAAGTTGAAAACCAACAAACGGGCAGAAGAAGCAGGCAGCGAAGACACGACTTCAGGTGAACACAGAGAAGGCAGAGGTGATGAAGATAATCAACCAACGAACAGCGACAACAAAAAGAACCGACACCAATCACCATCAACGGGAGAGATTTGGCAGAGGTTACTTTGTTGGTATTAGATGGTCGGAAGCAATCGGCAGGAAGCCTTGGACCTAGGTTTCGTGCTAGTTGGCACTCATAATCAAGGCGTATCTCCAACCTTGAGGGAACTCATGTGCCTTCTGAGATTCGAACCCGCGTCACCCAGTGCTGCAGTCCGAGACGTTACCACTGAGCTACTGAGGCTCGCGATTGACCTCCTGTAGGACTACCTTGCTGATGAGTGCCAACTAGCACGAAACCTAGGTCCAAGGCTTCCTGCCGATTGCCTCCAACCATCTAATATGAACAATTCACAGTGCACCGTAATGGCGAGCCACCTAGCATGACGGCCACATTGCAAGCTTGACTGATAGAATTCAGTCTGCAGTGAAGATAGGACTAGACACATTACACTAGTTATTGACTAGCGTCTAATCAAAAAAGAGGTTACTGTCTTCACTTATCTAGTCAGTATCGTTTCGACTACAAGCGGATCTGATAAAGATGTTAAAACCAGCCAGAATCAGGGAGGCAATGAACAACTTCATCATTCTGATATCAGTTTGGAAATCTCCTGCATTCAGCATAAAGGACAAGATTCGGATTTTAAACACTAATGCCAATCAAACAGTTCTGCTATTCGGGTCAGAAGCTTGCACTGCGTTTTATGAAAACTATTTCCAACAGCCTACTATAAATTTTCATCAACAGCTGCCCCCTTCGCTGGTTGGCTTCATACTGAAGATCAAATGGTCAGCCAGCTGGCCAGAAAGAATTAGAAAGAAGAAACTCTGGCTAACTGGGAACAAACCAACAGGCGAGAGCCGATTACTAAACAAATATGTAGCAGAAAATGGAGATGGATGGATGGATGGGGCATAAGTTGAGGAGGCCGTCAAATAACATCGCACGCAATGCAAGCCGTCGCTCGAGTGGAAATCGAATGGGAAGCGACGAGTGGGTTGTCAGTGCGAAGAGCAGATGACAGATTATGGGTTATCGTGGACCCAGTTGAAGAGGATAGCAGAAAAGAGAAAAAAGCGGAGATGTGTTGTTTTAGCAGTATGTTCCACCCGGAACCCAAGGGAATAATAATAATAATAGTAATAATAATAATAGTTGAACCGAACTATAAGCGAAAATAAAAATCCTTTTCTAATATGAACTGAAGCCAAGAAAAAACCTAAAACAGATCATATGATGTTATAAGTCATCTGAAAAGTATGGTTTAAACTCCAATTATTAATTATACAAGAAGTAGCAGCAGTGGTTCAATCACTTGATTTAACATATTCTCTTTTAACAAAGTGCACGAGGGGTAGGAATAATTTAGAAAAATAAAACAATTAACAGTGAATAAAATAAGCAAGTAAATAAGCAAATAAATAAATAAACTATTTAACACTTACGCATTAGTTTATAAACTGGATGTTCCCCTTTAATAACAGCTGACAATTGTCCATTTAATTCTGTACGTCCAAAATCAGTAATATAAGCAACACCACCACCACCAGCAGTCGTTGACTTATGATAATCATTCACTACTGTCGGTGACGAGTCACACGATGGATTAGTAGATGGTGGTAACTGACTACCGCCACTGCTGCCAGATTCCATCATACATCGATTATACCATAATTCTATTGTCAAGATCACCTGTTCTATGATATCATCAACTAACTGATCAGGTTTGCTATAGGAAAGGAAAGGAAAGAAGGAAAGAAGACATGAACGATGCTCATACATCTGACCAATCGCTAGATTGCGTCACGAAACAGCGTATCAGTTGAAGGAGATCATTGAAAACCAGGGAACACAATGTACAATCAGTTCGTCCTATTTTAGGACGACCTTCAGGTTGGTGATTCAACTACTTCTGTCAATTTGTGATGTAGCGCTTTCCTTCAACTAAATACCATTTGACGAGTATCCACAGTTCACCGTGATACTGGTGAAACGCACACACTAGTCACGACTTCTCACTACAGTTTCAAGACATCCGGATGGTAATTGTCAGATTTCGGCACGAATCAAAATCATTTAGAGAGATCAATTGAAAAGGCCAGTAGTTTGATTCAATAGTCATCATTTAATAAATTGACGGGTAATTTGACATCATTTTAAATCCAGTCCCCATTGAATTTTAATTCCCTGAAAACCTTAACCCTTGCAATTATTGTAGTGATTGACTCTACAAGATGAATTTGCTTGAAGTTCTGCTGAAAAGTCGTGATTGGTGGGGTTCACCAAGGCGCATGTGAGAACAAATACTCGCCGCTGAAATCGCCCGGTGGTTGTGCTATATATTTATGTATGGCGAATCGTCAGAAGTTTAAAGTCCATCGGTCATTGACTGAGCTGGCCTCATAACCTGAACGTCTTGGGTTTGATCCCGGCTGGAGCGGTCGTCAGTGTGTACCACTGAAGAGTCATCCGCTGGGACGAAATAGCTGACCAGTGCTTCCTGATGTTCAATGATCTCTAAATGATAGCGGTCCGTAACGAAAACCAACTGTCGGAAGTAATCCAAATCCCATAATCTGAAAATATGTCATTTAAGTCTTTGATAGTAGTAGAGTATAATGTTGTGCAATACGACCACTTTACAAACGAAATAAAGTAAAGAAAAAATGAAAGGATGCTATAAACTATTAATTGATTGGGACGAATAGCTGTATACTACTCAAATCAACTAGTAGTACTTGCTAACCTGCCAACTTTAAGTGATCTGAACACCTGAGAGCCATTTCGCCTGTTTGGGGATCACAGATCACAGAGCCAAATCAGTATTCCAACTATGGTGAGGGCTGGCTCCTAGCCAAAATTGGTAGATAGTAATTTACGTCAAGGTGTACGTCCCAAATATTGGTCATGAGAAAAGAACAAGAACAAAGACTGATTCAACAACCAATCACAGCAGACTTTGCGTAGGCGGATACAATTTCCAAATAGATAATCTGAACTTCAAGAAACGCCCACAAAGTGATGGAAGATTAACGTTCAACGAGAAACCACCAATCAGAAGACCGTGCTTGTTTGCTTACAATAATCTGTAATAATGCACACGAAAGTCTATAAATATCTGTCGATTTCGTAAAAAGACGATCTGTTGCCTGGCCCTTGTCTTCTCTTGTTACATTTGGTGTCGCTGCCTATCGACAAATGGAAAGCCTATGCCCTGCAGTTTTTTGATGGAGACATATGGATCTTCGGGCAGGTTTTCGAGGCTTCTGCGTAGTTGGGTGGCGTTCAAGATCTGTCAGCGATGAGGCTGTTACTTGGGACGCTACTGGGAGATCGGGAGAAAGCAGCATATGAAAGTGTGAGGCGAAATACCTACGAATGTGTGACAGGGTCAGGCAAACAGTTTCCAAAGTGGGAAGGACCACATATGGTCACTTTGAGATGGGATTACGCAGACCCAATCGCAATGGTAAACAAAGAGAAACAGGTGAATATCAGCGAGCGCCGAGATTCCAGACAGCAAGACAAACGAACAAAGCCCCTAGAACCAAGAAGACCGAACCAACTTCAGTCGCAAGTCTTTGACGGGGGCACGAGTGTGGTGAGGGCTGGCTGCTAGCCAAAATTGGTAGACAGTAATTTACGTCAATGTTTATGTCCCCAATATTGGTCATGAGAAAAATAAGAACAAAGACTGATTCGACAACCAATCACAGCAGACTTTGTGTGGGTGGATACGATTAGCAGATATATTGTCTGACCATCAAAGAAACGGCCACAAAGAGATGATAGAATAACTTCCAATGAGGAACGACCAATCAGAAGACGCTGTTTCTCTGCTAATAATAACGAATGATAATGTACATTATATATATATATATATATATATATATATATATATATATATCTGCTGATTTCCTCAATAAACGATCTCTTGCCTGGCCCTTGTCTTCTGTTGTTACACAACCACCCGATTTCCGGTTAGCTACATATTAGTGCCTTTCAAAATCTGACTAGATGAAGTGTGATTCGGATCGGTGATTGACTAACTAAATAACTTGACCAATGAATAACTCGTTGCCTTCATCTTGATCGTATGATGTCAAAAAAGAAGGGAACAAAGGCATAAACGTACTAATTTAAAGAAATCCCATGTAATATTGATGCAACATCTTGACATATTGACTTTTTCAATTGAATCATTGCATCCTGAGGTAGGTTAGTGTGTAATGGGTGGGAAAATATTGTTTTTGTTGGCGGAGTAGAGGATGACAATGCACCACTAGTAGTAGTAGTTGTTGTTGTTGCTGTTGTCGTTGTGAACGATGATGCATTTGATGCCATATAATTACAAACAACTAGAACTAAAGATGTTAAATTGACAATTATAATTAATTGATTGCCTAAATCCACAAGACGATGTTGATCCATAAGCATAGTCTGTAATGCAAGAATAAAGGAAGAAGAAAAAAGGACAATAGATTTAGTACAGAAACGTAGGATTCCAGTCATCACTATTGATATTGGTTCTAATTGGTTCCTGCCACCATAAACGACCTGGTACGGTCGAGGTCAGGTGGATAGATTTCGGTCTTCCTCTGCAAATATTATAATGTTGCCTTTTTCACTGTCTTCATGTGGCGCCGGTGTTCCCCATAAAACTGAAAGGACGACCCTACTCAACATCAAGTACACAAACGTATTCTAGAACACTGTCCAGCTTGGGTAGCCAGAGGAGAAAAGAAGAATAGCAGCAGCTATATCCTCGAACACCTTGTCATCTCCGAACATCGAGCACCCCCCCCCTATGAATGCATTACAGTGCTACACAAAATCCTTCAATATCGTGTACAAAGGGACTTCGCATACGCCATATGTACATAGCTGAAGCATTAACTATTTGAGATCTGAAACCGGACCACTGCATTCAAAAGCAATACATACATTCTCTCGCCTTACCGAGTAAAGTTCTTACTATAATCTTGCTTCTCATTATTATTATGTAAGTTCACTATTATTATTTTATTACCACTCTATTACTGCTTAATAATAACATTGCTATTTCATACAGATTTTATATAAAAACACTCTATCGCCTTCCCAATAGTTCCTGTCCATTCTACACCAGCTTATTGATTAGTCATTATCTCACACTTATTACGTCATGCCAACTTCTGCCTCTTTTCTAACTTACAGTTAGTCATCCCTTCTAGGTTACACCTTACATTATGTAATACATTTTCCGAGGACAAAGTCTACCAGTGTCTGATTGGTCTAAAGATTTCTTTGTTAAATATAATTACGATTGTACAGCAGTTGATGTAAATGAATCGTCGAAAAGAAAACTTTCTTCGCTATTTGCGCCTTTTTCTTACGAATAGAAACGTCGGGCGCTTTCAATAGGACTGGTGGATATTCTGATCTACTAAGAAGAGCTGGGAAGCCCTAATGGCAAACCAGTGGTGTATATGGGCTCCAGAATTTGAATGGCGTATGAACCTGTTTTGGTCACCGGAGACCATAGGAATGCTGTCCCAATGACTTGTGGATCAGACTTCCAGTTTGAGGCTCAGGCAGTGGAGTGGTCGCTTAAGATAACCACCTACTTCTGTCTGGGAGTCGGGGCAATATAGAGGCCGTCGCACAAACAATGAGATTTTGGTCCTCATGATGTACTCAGTTTGGTTCTAAGCAAAAATCTTCATTTGTAGTAAGTGAAAATGTTGCTTACTGACTTATGTACTGGATTTCCAAACACGGTTCTATGGTATTTATTATGCACGATAAGTCATTGTCTTCCTCGTCGATCAATGTAAGCTGACATAGAATGAGGCCGGAAAAGTCAGGGGGTCATCGAACCGAAACGCGGCATCAAATCCATGTTAGTCTTTGACTGCTGGTCTGAGCCAGCCACGTAAGGGAATGTAGACTATTTGGTTGGGTTCATAGAGAGACTAAGAGCTTACGGCTTGAGACTGTTGGCGATATGGCTCAAAATCGTTACCAATGACAAAGAGACATACACCCTTTTTAATCTTCTAGATCGACTAAGTTCTCACTTTTCGTCCATGCCATTATTCTATTTTCCGTACATTTCTGGTGATTATATAGTTCTTTTCAAGTGTTGTCATTACCGTGAAACTCAATCAGTATCAGCCTAGCGAACCAGTGAAAGTGTTGGGATAATATAGGCGTTGTCAAAAATCTCATTGTCACCCACCAAGAAATAAATATGACTTCTAGGAAATCAACGACACAAGTTGAAGAAAAGATATTCAAAAAAACAAGCAGCAAATTGAAACTATCCATTGTTGGTTTGTAAGTTTGTGAGAATAATCACTGAGAACCAATTTGAATACTGAAAAGCCCGTTCGTCCCAGTTTGCGACTCGTCATCAGTGCGTACTTATGATACCACCAAGGATCGAACCCAGGTACTTTAACTCATGAGACAAGCACATTACCATTCCACTAGTTGGACGGTTTATGAAGCAATCAAACTGGCGATCAGTCAGTCAATTGCTGACTAGTGTCAGCAGGCGCGACACCTAGATCCGGGACTTTCTGCCGACCGCCTCTAGCATCAATTTCTTACTGTCTAACGTATAAATGCTGGAAAGTTGGACGCGAATCACGTGCTGCTACCATCTAGGAACTTTCATAGAGAGAAATAGATCACTGCACAGGATTACACATCCGAATATGACAGAATGATGGAAAGGGGATTAGTGATCCAATAAATGGGAAACAGTATTATTCAATGAATCAGTCACAGACCAAGAAGGATGGGTTGAGACATAAAAATGTCCTGCAACGCTTCTCTTATATGGTCCAAAAAGCACTAATTGTTGAACATGCATCAAAACAGGGATAACAAATCAACAAAGTGCTACTAGGACGATGTTGGACCAACCACAGAAAACTCTGACCAGTTCACTTTCAAGATGACTTGAAGAAATGACAGTACTAACATTTCTAAGGAGTGAGGTGTTAAGGGTTCATAAATTATCTATATTACCAATTTATTTTGTCAATTAACATTCGAATGATTGCTTTAAGAGCTTTGTCACGCCATAAATATTGAAGGACTGAAACTTACATATCTATTCAAAAAAACTTTTCCCATTGGTTTTTCAATTATTTCGGGATTGTAAAAAAACTCTCAAACAATAAGAATGTCTTAATAGTCTTCTCTTCGTTCTGGTGGTTGGTTTATTTGTGTGACGTGTCAGTATGCGTCATGCATTGGAATCGTTACTCCTATTTGCAAACACCACACCTGTTATTTTATTTTTAGTGAATGACTAACAATGGAATCCAGGATGTGCGTTTAGTCCTTTTTTGGACTCGTCACATCTGGGTGTATATGCAATCCACAGTGAGGCTTAAACCCAGCATCCATAGTTTCACACGCCAAAACCCTATCCACTAGGTTGCTCGCTAGGAAGCTGACATGTCGACAGAGACCGAACATTTCGGTCCGATGTAATTATGCAACAGGAAATACAGAATACACCTGGACACAAGAGGTGACTTTCACAACCCAAGTATCCTGATGGATAAGGCATTGGAGTTTGAAACGATGCGTGCTGGGTTCGAATCTCGCTGGGAACACCATCACTTATTGGGAATTACAGGTACAACCAGATGACGAGTCCCAAATAGAAAGAAGTTCTTCACCTTGGATTTCACTGCTATTTACCATCCACCGAATAACGTCATGTTCATTCTCAGAAATAATTGAAGCTTCCGATCTAAGAGTCGACATGTAGACAGAGACCGAAATGACTGATCCACTGGTCCCAACATAGAACTTTGTAGAGAGGTGCAACGGTTCGAATTACCACACTCCATACAGCACACAAAAGAAGACGAAAGAGAGAGAGATATTCAAAAACACGATGATACGCAGAAATGTGAGGGAGAAAAAAAGAGTAGTAACATGGGAAAACATTGGTGCTTAATGGATATCGGAAATTATAAAAAGTGAACACATATGCGCCAATGAAAACGATTTTGAGCCACAACACCAATTGTCTCCTGCCTTCATTGGTTCTTACCATCCTGAGGAAACCAACCAGCCAGGCTGTCTACACCTCCCTACGTGTTTGGCTCTCACTAGCTGCCAAAGATTTCATGGACTGATGCCAGGTTTTAGTTTGACCACTAACCAGCAACCTGATCTTATGTCAGCTAATACTGCCTAGTATGCCTAGTCATCGCCTTCCTCGACGGGCAATGTTAGCTGATATAGAGTCAAGCTGGAAAAGAGCAAGGGGAGGTCAGTGAAATCAACAACAGTTAGTCTAAGCCACGTAGGAAGGTGTAGACCGCTTTCTGGTTGGGGACCTCGGGACGGTAAAAACCAATGGTTGATAACAGTTGGTGACATGGCTCAAAATCGTTCTGTATGGCTGGCACAGATGCATCCACTCCTTGTGACTTATGATTTCCAATGAAACTATATTGTTCTTCGTCATTACTATTCTTTTGTCTCACACCTCTGTTTACTGTCTATATTATGCATTTCTCCTACTTTCTTCTCTTGCTTTGTGTGCTACATGGAGTGTGGCGACTTGAACTGCCGCACATCAGTGCAAAGTTCTATGTCGAAAACAGACAGACAGACTGTCCGTTGTGGAAGGTGACAGCTAGGACGCGTGTTATGCATGGCTGGCTAGCCATCACAACCTGATTGTCTGACTTTCCCTACTTACCTAACACATTCGACACCTAACCTCAATATTACTGAACCTATTATACCATCTGATATAGTGGACAGAAAGCAGGCATCTACGACCAAAGACGACTAACTTTTTCGTATCTTCCACCTTCAGTAGTCATATCTCAGATTCATAAAGGAGGACAGAGAGAACTGATGAGTAATACATACGACTTTTGGTCGATAGACGGATACCGGCAAATCCCATGCGCGCCTTTTGCCTACTTACGTCATCTCTGCCGTAGAAACTGAACATTTCGGTCAAATGTAATCAAGAAATGAGAAATACACAATAAACTTGGACAAATAACACTTGTTATCAGGTGATTGAAGACACTAACTAGCTGTTCAGGGTACTCATTAGCCAGAGGAGGGGGTATTTCGGCCCTGAAATGACTACTGACTGAATCCGAATGAGTCACGTCTCCATAGAACAAAAAACACACGCAAAAGAGGATCAGCACTTACCTCAGGCCAATCTTGATCCCTTGGCCATGTTAACAGTTTAAGATAAGCTTCGCGTAATATATTATTTGGTGTTAATGATGCCATAGAATTATCCTTTGTTGATTTAACTCCAGATGAATTAATAGAATTAGGGCATTCATTCGATTGTTGTGATAGATTGTTAACATCATTATAGGCTTGTTTAATCCAATCACGTGTATGCCTTAGACCATCAATGCCAAGTTCTAAAAAGGAAGAATCATCACCGTCATACCATCACCATCACTAGCAACAACGGCATAACGAGGAATGTGACTTTTACAAAAATATTGTATTATTATTATTATTATTGTTCCCTTGGGTTCCTAGTGGAACATAGGGCTTCAACTGCACGTATCCACTTGCTTCTGTCTTCTGCTGTACTCTCAACTTGCATCCATGTTAATCCATACTGTTTCAACTCCTCTTCACACGGTCTCCTCCATGTCACCCTTGGACGTCCCAGTCGCCGCTTCCCTTTCGGGTTCAACTCGAGCATTGGCCTGACGCGCGATGTCACCCAGCGGCTTCCTCAGCGAGTGTCCAATCCATCTCCACTTTCTCCTGCATATTTGGTGAGCGATTGGTTCTTGTTTTGTTTGTTCCCATAGTTTCTTGTTGGTGATTCTTTCCGGCGGCCATCTGATCTTCAGTATAGAGTGAAGATAGCTGTTGATAAAGGTCTGCAACCTGTTGGAAATATTCTTTGTGACCCGCCAAGTTTCTGATCCGTATAGAAGAACTGACTTGACGTTTGTATTGAAAATCCGAATTTTGTTGTTGATGCAAGCTGAGTGATGAAGATTTCCAGATTGGTTTCAGGTTGATGAATGTGTTTCTCACCTTCCCGACTCTCGATTTGACATCCTCGTCCGTTCCTCCTGTAGTTGAGAAAATGCTCCCTAGATAAGTGATTGAAATAACCTCTTTGAAATCCCTCCCGTTGATGGTGATTGGCGCTGTATGTTGCTGCTGCTGTTGTTGTTGTTGGTTGGTTATTTTCATAACCTCCGTCTTGTCTATGTTCACCTGGTTTTTATTAAAATTCAAGCCAAAGTGGACATCCTCTTCGTCTTCACATCCAAAAACATCAACTGGCCATCAAAAGATACAATATTCACTACCTGATATCACTACATACAGACACCAATTCGATTGGAATAATGTTCAGTTCTTAAACAGAGAGAAAACAAAAAACGTCAGAGAATTTCTAGAAGCCTCGTATTCAAGTGAATCGGTAATCAATAGACACATTGACATAGAAACGTTTGTTCAAGGTCACAGATTGATATCAGTTAGAGAACCATTGGAAACCCTGCAGGGAGTACTGGACATCTGTTCCGCCCTAGTTCGGGGCTCGTCAGCAGTACGCACCCACCGCAAGGGTTAGAACCCAGGACCTCTCGGTTACAAGGTTACTGAAACCCAACTCAACGGCTGAATAGTCTACAAGCTTGCCTTGTAACCAGAAGGTCCTGAACTCTAACCCTGGCAGTGGGTGCTTACTGCCGATGAGTCACAAACTAGGAGGAAACGCCTGGTTGTCCAGGCCTCCAGTACTAGTTTTCAATGGTTCTCTAAATGATATTAATCCATGGTCAAACAAATCAAATTCCTACAAAGAAGTCTTGTAAATAGACAAATTTACCAATCCATAGGGAGGAAATCATATAAACCTAAGGTCAAATTTCAGGTCAAAGAAACAATCAATACTAATACAAGTGGATGTTCAAGTTTACTGGGAGAGATGACTAATAAATTCGTGCAGAATTTTAAAAGCTTTCTTCAAATTGAGGCATGCGCTGAGGATGTCGCTTTAGTAAGAGAGAGAGAAAGCTTCGCAAATAAACTACCCAGCTCAGAGAACACAACTACATCAAAATCATATCCACCTGAGCTACATATCTTCTCCATTATATCTAAAATTCAGCTAACTAGAACAAACCTTTTGCTGTACTAAGCGATGAATATACACTTACTTGTAACGGCTAATACTACTACTACTGAGTTGCTCAAGCTGAAGTAGGATTACAACCAGCCGGGTGATTCATTGGCTGTAAATACAGTGTTGAAGCCAATGAAATTAACATACTAACCGATGTTTACAAGAGTGCAGCCTCAACACCCCACAGTTCTTCCACTCTGTTCTCTGCAGGCATTCTTAAATTGGCTCCACAGTTACCAATAAGCTGTCACTTCCCTCTCATACGATCTCCTAAATGTTACTGTCGGACGCCCAACTAGTCAATATCCATTCGGGTTCCACTCGAGCGATGGCCTGCATTGCGTGCGATGTCATTCAACGGCCTCCTCAAAGTATGCCCCATCCATCCATCTCCATTTTCTCGTACATATTTGTTGAGCGATCGGCTCTTGGCTGGTTTGTTCCCAGCTAGCCAGAGTTTCTTGTTACTAATTCTTTCTGTCCGGCCGGCTGGCCATTTGATCTTCAGTATGGAGCCAGCCAGCGAAAGGGGCAACTGTTGGTAAAGGTCTACAGTAGGCTGTTGGAAATCGTTTCCGTGACGCGCAGTGTAAGTTTCTGACCCGTATACAAGAACTGACTGACTTTATATTTGTGTTCAAAATCCGAATCTTGTTTTTTTTTATGCTGAGTTATTGCACAAGACTTCCAAACTGGTTTCAGGTTGTTGAAGGCGTATCCTGCCTTTCCAATTCTGGTCGGCTGGCTTTGACACCTTCATTCGTGCCGTGTACGTGTGATTGAAACCATACTTCCTAGATAAGTGAAGGAAGTAACCTCTATGGAATCTCTCCCCTTGTTGGTGACTGGTGCTGGTTGTTGTTGTTCACCTGGAGTGCTGCCTTCATTGCTTCTTCAGTCAGTTTGTTGTTTTTCGCCTACAAGCCTTCAGGTTTGTATGACGCTAAACATAAATCATCCACACGCGAAATCCAGATCTTCTACAATCTGCTTTCATCAAACTCAACGTATTCCTGTCTTCTCACTCCCCACCCATATTCTGACGCATAATCCAGTCCACCACAATTAAGAAATATCGTCGGTGATAATAGGCAGCCAGCTTGTCTTGCTCCTGTATTCACTTTGAATGCTTCACTGAGTTTTCTGTTGTGGATCACCTGGCACATGGTATTGCCATATAGCTGTTGCTTCTCCTGAATCTAGCCTATTAGGGGTGGAGTTTTGCATCCAGAGTATCCTTTTCCAAGAAGATGCAGCTTAATAGTTTGCGTCAACAATCTTCGTGAGAATATTCCATGTCCCTATGCTCGCCTTTGCTTTCTTCGCAAGATGATACATTGGCCAAATGGTTTCTCGAAGACTTCTACCAACCAGAGCCGTTCCGTTTCCCTACTTCTAGAGAAAAATAAATTTTTCTAAAATATTTTTCTTCAGTTTTAAGTTTCGCTGTAAGGCCACTTCACTACTGGCCCTACACTTAACCTGTCCTCCTTTTTCAGGCTTATGATCGCCTAAGAAAACTGGTGAATGGGTGAACTATGTGAGGTTGAACTTATCATATATGAATATATAATGGATATGCATAAATTAAATAGAAATACAAAGTGTGAGACAAACGACAGCAACCATTTCCTACTTACTTTGTTGAGCTTCTATAAATGTAGCAAATTTATTACGTTCATAGGCAACTGCTTGTTGTCTAATATACGGTCGCATTTGTTCTATGGTGAAATTAGCCAAATCCATATGCATTTTATCCAAAAGTAAGAATACATTCCTGAAAGAAATATATATATACATATATGTATATATTTTAAGAAGGCGAAAAGGTTTAAAAAGTATGTATGAAGTATTCACGTGACGATATGTACTACTTACTAACTGATTGATATGAGTAGTAGGAAAACACCCGTGTCAACTCAGCAATGCTTGACAGCCGCCACTTCGAAGTGATTTACACCCCATTGAGCCATTTAGCTGGTTTGGGGACGACAGCACCGACAGAAATCTGACCTTAATATTCTGGTTTCCAAAAGAATTTCAAATTTCTCCTTTATATAGAAGGGTATTTTTCCCGTTCCTTGAGTTCCCACATCGGAAAATAGGTGTTCAAGATTTGAATTCTCAGTTACGATGATGTTTTTCTTATGGAGTGAGGTTGTCAGGCTTGCTCCTAACCTACTCTTCTTTACAGGCTTACTACCGGCTGGGGATCGAACCCAGACCTATTGCATGACTGTCAAGCATCCCCCCCCCCACTGAACCAACAACGCACGAAAACCATAGAGTGCAGGAGAGCTGCTTCGTCTTAGTTTATGACCTTCCAGTAGTATGCACAATTGACTGTCGCCCCCCACCCTCCACCAGGGATCGTAATCATAAACTTTAGGCTACTAGGCGAGAACACTGACCACTAAATATTTAGAAAGAGTTTAAGGCAGCGATTATGCGTGTGGTGAGATCTGTCTGCAAGCCAAAATTGTATGCAACAATTGACCATGAGAAAAAAAACAAGAACAAAGCCTAACCTCGAGAAACTCAACACCCAGTCACGGCAGACTTTGCGTGGGCGGATACGATTCGCAGATATATCAACGGACTGTCTAAGAAACGGCGACAAAGAGATGACAGAACAACCTTCAGCAGGAAAACAACCAATCAGAAGACGTTGCTTCTCTGCTAACAATAACGCTAATAATAATGTACATAAAAATTTATAAATATCTGTTGATTTTGTCGATAAACGATCTGTTGCCTGCCCTTGTCTTCTGTTGTTACATGCGTACATTTATACAATCAGCTATTATACCTTCACTATATTTCTGCTCTTTTCGTCTGCGTTTCCCTTAAATATGCGCCTTGTTTTTTATATAAAAATTAAAACAGAAAGGGTATTTTTCGTTTTTCACAAAAATTTCAGATCACGAGTGACCATGTAGATAGAAAAAAATAGTATCTGACACTATTCGGAATAGATAAAATTCAAAGAGAGAGGGGGAAAGAAGGAGAGAAAGTAGTAGAACGTCTTTTTAATGCCGAGTTTTAAAAGAGACTCAAGAATTATGTAACAAATAGTTACAACAAATAGTGTTTCTTTTAGATTAAAATAAAATAAGGTTTAAATCCCCGATCAGTGTACATATGAAACACTCATTTTCTCTGCATTACTTCCACCTTCCTCCTACTGAAGTGTCTGAAAGAGAAGGAGCGTTAGTGCTGTGTGACTGTAAAGCTCAGAGGACAACTGCTTGTGGCTGGTTACACACACTACCGGTCTGAGTTGGGTTTCGGAGTTGTGTCCTTATAATGATCTTACTACCAGCTACAGACTACCTCAAAGTAAGTCGGAATGTGGAACTTTCGGTGTCGATCCCTTCAAGCCACTCCCTTCTCTACAGAGGAGAGGCGGTATAGGTGACTTGCTTGTCATCTGACGCAAACACCTCAATGCCATTACATCCCTACTGACCAGCAGTACGACCACACACACATGCTTCCCTCGCAGGCATAGTGTAAGCAACTGATACTATAGTGGTAACGGCTTTTAGTCTATCCGCTAGCTAAATGACCTTCTTGACACAGTAAGATCTGCAGAGGAACAATAATTTCAGTCAGCGTAACTAGCTGGGTCATTGTGATAGGCAAGGCCAACAACCACATCACGCTAACAGCTATTGGTCGCGGTTCTGAGAGCTCTCAACTCAATAACTGGTGGATAAAACCACAAAATACATGATAAAAATGGGAAAACAGAATAATATAAAGATTTTAAACAATCATGACTAGGTGATTTTATCAAGTAAAACTCAATTTGAATAGAGAGAAAACAGCTGCTTGATATAGGAATCTAAATTAATGAAGGTATCGACATTATTTGTCAGAGTCCGGGACTTCTCTCCCTCTACCAGTGCTTTGTATCACAGCAGACATTTCCATGTGTAATCTTCTCCCCAAAATTGTTGTTTTCGTGTTATTCAAAATTCATAAAGGAGGGAATAATTATCATTTCCATGGGTTCCGAGTGGAATAACACGGCTGCATAACAGCACATCTCCAATTCCACCTCCTGTTCTTTGCAGTTCTTTTTAGATGGCTCCACTATTGTCTGTAAGCCTTTATCTCCCCCTCACACGCAGTTGGAGGTGACATCAGCAGGGTATTTATCCAGTTTTGAGTGGCTTATAGAAGAAGTGGTGCTGTATAATGTTATGAGTTTTGCTGCCGAGAAGTTTCTTTTTATTGCTCCCTTCAGTCTTTTGTCAATCTTTTGTGATACTGCATCTCTTTTGAATGGGAGACAAATAAACACTTTTTTTCTTTTCTAAAGTTGAATGTTTTTCTTTATCTTTTTCTCTGCTATACTTCTGTATAAATCCCTTAGGGTATCCATTTTCTCTTAGGCATTTCTCGACGAAATATAATTCTTCTTCGACCTTCTTTGGTGTACATACCTTGCTGGCTCTGTCGTACAAAGTCCTCACTAATCCACGTTTATAGCTGGGACAAAAGCTGTTATAGTGAAGATATTGCCCAGTCCAGGTTTCGTTTCTATAGATGGACTTTTTGATCGAACAAAATAAAAGAACAAAAACTGGATAAATACCCTGCTGATATCACCTCCAACTGCTTTTATGAATTTACGTGCACTTGTGGGAGCAATTATATTGGAAGGACAGAAAGAAGGGCTTCTATCCGGTTTTCTGAACATATTCCAAGAAACCTATGCCTGAAAGGAAGCAAACATTCTCAGAGTGGAATTGTAATTTCAGGTAGTCTGCAGCTGATGACAACCTGTGAAATAGAGTGATATTATTTTATACCGCAAATTTCATCTTCCTTTCTTTATCGAAATTTATCAAGGGAACCAAATGTATGAAATAACAACATACCTAAAAGATTCAACAGGATCATCGATTTTGCGTAAATCTTCCACTTCTTGATCACGTACAGGTGCACAAAATTGTTTCATTAAATTAATCACTTCATTTTTATACACTTCCAGGCTTATATGACCAGTTTCTTCAAGTTGTGATTTAGCAACATCAATATCTAATAGATTTTCAATAAGCTTTTGTAATTTTGTTTGATTCGGTAGAACTAATTCTGTTAAAGACTGAAATGAAGAGCACAAGGGAAGAAGAACAACAGTTAATTAGTTGGTTAATCTCAACTGATGAAAAGAAATGACTTATACATTTTCCAAAAGACCTATTTTAGAAATATATATGATCCAGAAGTTTTCTATCTATTATATTATTATTGTTTCCTTTAGTTCCTAGAGGAATATAGGGCTTCAGCAGCACGTCTCCATTGCGTTCTGTTCTCTGCCAACGTTTTCACCTGGCTGCACATCTGTCCACATGCTTTCCTTTCCTCTTAGTATGACTTCCTTCATGTAACCCTCACCCTGACGACCAACTCGCCGCTTCCTTTTCAGGTTCCACTCGAGGGTCTGTCTCGTGATGTCACTCAGTGATGGTTTGTTTTCTCAGAGTATGGCCAATCCACCTCCATTTCTTCCTGGATATGTCTTGCACAATTGGTTACTGCTGGGTTGGTTTGCCCCCAGAGATCCCTCCCCCTGTTGCTGATCTTTTCTGGCCGACCATCTGATCTTGAGTAGTATTGAGCGAAGACAGCTATCGATGAAGGTCTGTAGTTTGTTTGAAGTGCCCTTCGTGATGCGGTGCCGAGTCTCTGATCTGTATAGTAAGCAGCACTGACTCCACATTGGAGTTGAAAATCCGGATCTTATTTTTCATGCTGAGTGCTGTTGATCTCCACACAGATTTGGAGGACAATTGTTTTCATACTTTAAAAAATGATGATTAACAGTTAGGCGAATAATATATTTGATTTGATCTGGAAGTACAATGAAGCTCCATATGTTATGCTTGCGTAGCTACCAGACTTGTCAAATGAAATAATCACAACCAATGGCGTCCATCAGAGAGCCCCGCTATCCTCATTTTTAAATTAATTTCATCATCGATATAATTATAGAATTGACCCTAACTGACTTTTGCGAATTAGGAGTTGACTTATTATCAAGGAACAGTCTTGTCGACTTAGATGACGCTGAATATGAAGACGCTGACAAAATCAAAGTTTTCTGAACACTACGAAAAGAATGTTTGGCATGCGATTTGCTCCTGTCAAATGTAAGATTTTGCTACGGAACTGGACTACATCGACTCCTATCTCACAGATAGGGAGTGAAATAGTAGAGCGTGTTGACCACCTCAATTATTTGAGAAGTTGCATCAACCCTATTGGAGTGACAAAATCTCAACAAGGATACAAAAGACTCGTGTGGCATTTGCTACCTGACGTCACCTCTAGTGTCAACATAATATCCAGCTATTCATTAAAGGACGTGTGTACCGGGCAGCAGTTCGCTCTGTCCCTCTTTATGGGGCTGTGAGACATGCCCATTGAAACTGAAAAACATAGAAATGCTAGCTGTGCCCTACCATTGACTTTCGCGTTTCATTTTCTATGCTAGGTGGTATAATACGGTGATTAACACTGTTTACTTCAAAGCGTTAATAAAAACAATTATACCGGTATATGGTGCTACTAGAATGAAGTTGAGAAACTGGGATATACCGGGGTAATTCACTTTTACTTGCATCTACCTCACATTTGACCACAGATAGTTGCGTTCTGTTTCCTCTGTTAAGCGGCATTTGATAAGTAATACTGAGAGCCGGTGTAGAGTGCAAAGTAAGGAGGATGAGTTAATCAATGAGATTGTGACGCTACACTGACTGAGATGGCTACAACATATGTTGCGCATGCAAAGCAATCAAATTCCTCGACAGGCAATGTTAAGCGACACAGGATTAGGTTGGAAAAGGTCTTGGAATGGTTAAACCAAAGCCCAGAATCAGTAGATGCAGACATTGACGGATGGTTTGAGCTGGTTGAGGTCCTCGAGATGATAAAAACCAATGACTTCAAACTATTGGTGATATGGCTCAAAATTGTTCTCAGTGGCACAGATGCATTCACTATTCATAATCTCTAAAATCGACTAAGCCCTTAGGTTTCTTCATGTAATTGTTCTTTCTTTCTCACTTTTTGACTCATCATAATTCAATAGAATTTTTCTATTTTCGTGTATTACATGGAGTGTGGCAATTCTGTGTTGAAGTTTAGTCATTAAGTGAGTGGAAGCTACCGTCTTCCTCAGAAAGCAAAATCAACTGGAATGGCAATTAGGTTGTGAAAGAGTCAGGAGTGGAGAACAAAAAAGTATTTGACTGTTGGTTTGAGGCATGTAGACTACTTGCCTTAGGTCACTGGAATGCAATACTGTTGATATCTGTTAAAACCATTCACAATGATACCGATGGATCCACTCCTTATTATCAACTAGGTTTTGATAATTCTAACTAATCTCCTTACAAGTATTCGCTCTTTTGTTACTCAACAAAATTCTTTTAGCTACTTATATGTGTGCTTCTACAGATTGTAGTAACTTGATGTACTTTCTACAAAGTTTTACGTTGGCAAGTTAATCAATTCCCGTGTTCTATACAATAAGTCGTACTCAGTTTCATAACTTTAGGATATTATCTAGAAGCATGAGCTACAATACGTTAGACAGACCTGTGAAATGAGAAGCCACTATTTGGAAGTTTAGAGATTATGCCATTCAGTCACACTGACTGAGTTTTCAACGAAAAACTTTGCGCAGAAGTGCAGCAGCAGTTCAAGATTACAAGACCCTAAAAGAAATATAAACGGGTAAGTAGGCAAGAAAGAATAGTAATATGAAAAAATGAGGACTTAATGGGTCTGGAACATTGCAAATAGTGAATACATCTCTGATATTGAGAAGAATTTCTAGTCATTTTACCGACAATTGTCAGTACTTAGTTCTTAGTCTCGATAACTTCACGTAGGCAGCCCGTATACGCCTATTTGGCTGGCTTAAACCAACAGTTAAAGATTTCAAGGGTTAGTGTGACGTATTAGTTTGACCACCCCTAACTATTTTCCCTGTCTCATCCGGTGTCATCGCAACACACCACAAATCATGCTTATAATATAAGGAACAATAAAACTAATCAGATATACAACTAAATAGGTGCAGTGGAACTTAATCATTATGTGTTAAGTTTTAAAGTCAATAAATTAACAGTTTCACAGACAATATATTGATAAGCAAGTATAAAAGAAGTTCATGTACCTGTTTAATTTCCTCAAGCAATCGTAGAGCCGGTTGATAATCTGGTGGATCTGATTCCAAACTAGATCGCAAAATATCCCAAAATGCTCTATGCATTGTTTCCTTAATTTGATATTCCAAACTACAAAATAAGCAAAACAAAATAAAACTAATAATGAGAAAATGCCAACAAACAAGAGGCATTTTTCTCCTTAAAGTAAGGTTTTTCACTCAATATTTTGTTGAAATAAAAATAAATTTACTACTTCATATAGCATGCAAGCACACAGACTTGAGAATCACACAAAAAACACTTTCATATTCTCGAATATCATAAAAAGAAATCAGATAACTCTGGGAAGTGGTAACTTGGTAGGACACCGACAGTTAAATTTAACGTCTAGTGATTGAAAGGAAGGAGTTCTAAAGCAGTATTTCATTGTGTGATACAAAATATGATCCTGAGAAGAACCGATGGTTTAAAGTCAGATGTAAGATGGCCCTCTGATTTACGGTTATATCGGAGAATTGTAAAATTAATTTCAATACAACTAAACACTTTGGTAAGAATCACTCACGTGTTTTCATGTGGTTCGTACATTTCCAACCTGAAGTGAGAATCCACAGTTATTTCATGCGCCAAAGTCATGTTATAAAATGCCTTGGCAGCCTCAGCAAGTTGATTCATTGACACAAATTTCGGTGGTGAAGCTAAAGATAGAAGTAAATCCGGGATCATTTAAGGGTAACCATGAGTTCTATAAAGACCGAGTACAACAGATATGAAAAACTTCCACGCATGTAATTGAAAAAACTGAATATGTGTTCTTAATTACAATAGACACACTGTTTTCGACTAGTTTACATTAGTCTTTGAATAAATTTATTCCAAGACCAAAGATCACTTTGTGAAGCAATAAGAGAAATGTAGCTTGACGTTACGAAGCAGCAAAGACTGTTCAATTAACGACTAACTACCTAGAAATTAACTTTTTCACTATGTGAAACATCACGTCTACAGGATGCCATATGATAAGTAGTGACTAGCAGTGACATCTAAGATGAGTTGGGATTTCAGGTATACCATGTGCAGTTTACTGATACATTCCAGTGATTGATCTTATTTTCAAGGAGACAGAACGCCTGTTCTGGATTCGATTGCTAGCCACATGCCTAATCAAATGTGATTATATAGTCAGATTTTGACTATATGACCCCCAATTGCGATGATTTAAGGTGGAAATCTTGTTGTTTTGTTCTCATAACTCTAAATTCTGCTGGGTCTGAAGTGTAAACTGTTTATAAGAGCTCCTGTAGAAGTTAACTTACGAGGTAACAGAGTGTCTTTGTCCTTATCGAGGCGGTTTATTTTCATTGGAATGGCAAAACTCGGAGATTCCATGGGTGTATTTACATCGGCTAGTACACCACTATCAGATTCATTCGAACTTTTGGTTTCTTTGTTTTCTTCTGAACTCATAATAAGAGCGTAGTTTGTGTGGAGCGCGCGAAACAGCCTTGAAAACTAACCTTCGGCTTGATTGGTTCCTGCTTTCCTGTGCATATTTAGGGTGAGATTGTTTTAAGCCGTAGATTTCTTGTCTGTTGATGTTCTTAAATGGTTCCTGATTCATAGTGAGTTTCAAATAATTTTATTTCTTCACTAGTCTGTTGTGCGTTTATAAGATGCAGTAGGATAGAACATTTAGATTTTCATATACTTGACTGAGGATAGGTGTGCATATCATTCCAATATTTTTCTGATAGATTCTCCAACCTCTTTTCTCTTATTAACAATTAAAATGAGTGCTTGGGCACTACTGACTCTAGAAGCTGGTCAGAAATTGGTCATAATCATAGCATCAGTGAACATTACTGTATAACCCTGTGACACTTTATTGAAACAAATTTTACCCATAATGGAATTACACTCTGCTACAGTGCATGAATTTTGTTCTTACATCAGAAATTGGTGCCTCAGTGTTGCAGCCCCTCTATAGAGCATTCTGTTACACCTCTTTGGATATTCTCCAAAAGATTTTCTTCATTAGGATTTTTGGTATGATAGTGTTGAAGATTTAGATGCGTTACCTGGTATATGTTTTGCAAAGCTTCATGAAAAGAATCGATTTTATGCCACCAAGTCACCTACGCATAAAGTAAAGTGACGTAATAGCCTTAACGGCATCCCATCCATGCTTAGCATTTATTTCGAATTTTTCTGTAAAGAGAGAGCCGAGTCTGTTATTTTGTTGTACAGGCTGATTCCACATAAAGAGTCGGCCATTTCCTGTGCTACTACTACTACTAATAATAATTTATCTTTCGTATAAACAGGTAAGTTTACATGAAATGCATGCCATTTTTACAGGCACGATCAATTATTTTACGAATTACAATTATGAATTAGCATACATTATCACTTTTTAAAAAAGTTCAAATTGTTGAATTATAGTACAAGCAATCGGAACATATTCTTACAATTGCTAATTTGTAAATCTTTCAGGAAGGTCTTCATCGAAGTTGAGCGACAACCCATACTTCGTTCCATTTCCTGATGATTGTAATGGCTGTGACCCCGTGCTTGAACGGTCTTTCGGGAGTAGGAGAAAATCCTGCACAGCTACAAAGTGGTATAAAATGCAATCATGAATAATACATTATTGGAAGTATATTTACAAGAAAAATACAAGAATAAGCTATACAGTGCTTGATATGATAGTGCACATTTGCAATGTATGATGTTAACCATATTGGTCTTACATGGAAAACTACGACGTTTTCTTTGAAAATAAAGTTATTCTCAAACATGAGTGTTTTGTTTTTTAATATCATCAGAGCAACCGAACTTTACGCGGGAAAAGGGTGTAAATGAGAAAAAGGAAAAAATTTCAGCTTTATTAAAGTCCTAGGAAGTTGAGATAAAATAGAGTATAATAGTAATTAGGTAGAAGGATTATCGTGAACTATATAAGTGACATTTCAGAGGGAAGTGGCTTGGAGGATTAGAAAGTGTTGGATATTACATTAAGTTACTCTAAATGTAAGCGCAGTTATCCAGTGTCACCATGTCGTCCCACGTTTTAGGGAATCGTGCCGACCTTCTCCAGACATTATCGATAGAAAGAACCAACTAAAGTTGTTCGGTTGACCATCAGTTGTCTGACTGGGAGTCAGGGTGGAAAACGTATTGCTTGTAACCATTCTAACTGTTTTTGTTTTAATCAAGCATCACCGTTCTTAAATCGAAATTTTCCGATGCACACCTAAGAAAAAATAATCCAAACTACGAAGGAAGAACTTATATGGATGCAACACTAAACGCTTTTCAATTTTGTTTTTAAAATATAAGGGCTTCTAAGGCTAATGCTGCCACATATTTCTAATGGAGTAGTATAACCCCTCTCTAAAATCATGAGTCCTGCTTCATGTACTAGGTCGCTTCTAAATTTGCACTATGCAGCCAAAAGGCTTTCACCAAACACTAAGTAAATTTCAGTGTTGATTCCCCGTGTGCAACCACTTCAATCAAGTATGGGTGTCCGTACCAGACAACACAGTTGCACAGTTGACACTTATGGGTTTGGGAGTACAAAAATCTTAAAATCGACTTGGAATGTGTTGGACGAATACTGTGGTCTACAACTGGGCACACAGCATGAAATGATGAAATTCATGGCATAAGTGATCAAGGAAACTCGTCATTTCAGCTGAGCTTCAGGGATGTCGCCTTCAGTGGTCAATCATTGTAGTTTTCGTGATCCAGACAAAATGAAGTTTATGTCGGACGACTGGTTATTCAGAGTAAAACAGCTTCGTTGCTGCTTGTTGATGTGACTGTGGATGTCTTTACTCTCTGTAGGTTACCATTACTGAATACATTCTTTCACTGTGGTACTAATTTTAACGATTATTATTTGGGACGTTAATGAGAACAATTGCACACGTCAAAGCAATGGCGAAACAGCTGTCCACCCAAGGCACAGTTCCGGCAGGTGAAATCGCTAAGCAACAATTATCAGTGCTATTTACAGCTAAAGCTGATGGAAAAATTGTTGAAATTCATTCAATTAGTGTGACTTCCTAGCCTTTGATAATGACCATATGACAGGACATACACGAGAGCCTGCAGAAATAATTTCATTTCCTCCGAAGAGTGGGCATTCGTGCCTCTGGCTGCCCAGATTTCCATTGAGGATCTAAAATGACACTTCGTCTTCATATGGATGCAAAGCGACCTACTGTAACCAATTCCATCAACACCATCTACTTTATGCCCTACGACCTCACCGCTGACCCACCCACTGATCTACTTAAGGTCAACAAAAACGTGATGGGTGGCAACATAGAGCCAACCATGCGTTCGAATGGGGATACTGTGAATGATTTGGCACTGAAGGTAGATTATTTAGGCAAAGTAGCTGTTCTCAAGTGGCTGAATTCATTCTGTCACCCTTCTGTATTGTCATCCACTATCACTCCGTGGGTGGATGACGGACAGACAGGGGCGTCATTATCCTTTCCTAATCGTCCGCAAGAAAGCCCTTCACAACAACAGTATAACAAAAGTTTAACAGCAGCATATAGGGAGCGCATAGAAGCATACGTTACAACCTTATTTCAAATGCATCTAGAAAAGCTACTTGTGGACAAACAGATTTTAGTACGCCGTTATGAAATCACTCCGGATGTAATGCTGAGAATCGCTCTACTCACTGCTTATCGCGTTGCTACAGGTACCCCCGAATTCCGAATAGACGTCATCATCATACCGTTTTACTCCCACCACCAACTGCCATCACTATCGCGTCTCACGAACCAAAAATAGGAAAATAGGATTTCACTAAAAATTCCCTAATGGAAGATATTTACATCTGCTTAGAATATCTTAACCACAAGTTCTGGCACGCACTTCACATTGGATACATTGCAAGTGCCGTTGGTATTATTCAATATGCTATCGATACCCGAAAGTGTTGCTTAGCTTTGCCAATCACATTTTAGAATCGTAGCCCACTACCAATCCCAGATGAGTGTGACATTTCAAGAGGTGGTCAATAAAATGATCACCACGCTCTCTTCTTCCCAAGGAGTTTCAACTATCGATTTACTCAAATTAAATAATGTTAGCATTTAGATCCGTAGGCTATCGCCGATTTAACGTCCTCATTCAATGAGAGCCTCGGGATGATACCACCTTAGACTCTATAAGTGAAGCTACGTGGTTTTCGTCAACAAGACCCCACAGATTGAAATGTGGCTACAAAACAGCCAAAATACAGTATTTGCTGACTGGGTCCTGCAAATTTAAAACTGTGCAGCTCAGGCTATCCAATGCTTCCACTATATTCCAGCGATCGATGCAGCTACTACTGAGTATATATCCTCCTTGACTATGTAATTATGTTCGGCAGGTCACCAAAAGAAACTGCAAGGAAACTGAAGATAGTTCTTCTCATATTCAAGACTCAGGGACCGAAGCTGATAATAAAAAATTATATTTCGTCTTCACAGGCATGACCAGTTGTGTTATTGATTAAAATCGTGAAGTACCAAAAATTAATACGTTTTCAGAAATGTAAATAAATAAATAAATAAATTTATTCTCATAGTACAGTACATGAGGGACACCAGTTTACAGGCATCATCAAATTGTTACAGAAATAGAACCATATAATTCAATCACAATTTACAGGCAGTAGCAAGATATGCTTTACATGTTCGATGGAGATTATACGTACACTTGATAAATGTTAATTCCAGTAGTATAAAACAGCCTTTTCACTTACATACAATCATTTCTGTGCAAAGTTGGAAAAATCTGCTAGATTGTCAGTGAGTGCAACACATCAGGAAATACTGGAGTATTGTCTTCGCATTAACAAAAAAACCAGGTCTTTGGTGGATGGATTATAAGTGCCTGGGAAAAAAATAAAGCTTGCAGTAAATATTCATACATAACTTTGTTGTGTGCAGGGTCCTCGAATTATAGTTCATTGGTGTGTTATTTTGAAATCAACAATCGAGGATTTTGTTTTTTATAGTCTCTAGAGGCATTGAATCTAGGATGTTGTAAACTATAGCCTGATGAGAAGATGATATACGCTTTATCACCTCCGCAGCCAAGCAGTCAATCAGATTTTCAGCTTTATTTAGGTTGTCTAACGACATTTTAGGATGTTTTTTTATCAGGCAGGCTATTGGGTCTAAATCTGTAAGCTAGTTTTGAGTTACATCCAGTAGAGACTTAACCTGGCCAATGTCAGAACGGCTCTCCATGATATTTGAGATTGGCAGTGACATGCTATCAAACTGACCTAATTTTTCCTGAAGTTCACTTACTTGTCTCTGGATATCTGTCACAAGGCAGTTTCATTAACAGAACTAAGAGTTCTCTAACAGAACATCTTTCACCTGTATCACAGGAGTGAGAACTGCACTCAAGCCATTTTTTAGGGAGGTAGTAGTTGATACTGTATTACAGGGCGGTAATGCAGTTATAACCGAATATGAGCCACTATCTAAAACAATTGTGTTTCTACGATCACGTTTTCTAGAGATTTGGACCATAATTTCAAGGATTACATGACAATAAGCAGTAAATGAATATAAGAGAAGACACGTGCAAAAATGTCACTAATTTCACAGGTATCTGCGAAACTTGTTGCTTTAAGCAACTCGTACGAGTTACTTACTCTCGGGCCCGACATCCGTACAGATACGCACTTACTGAATTCCCGCGGTAGGACGTGAACAACTGCAGGGAACTGTGGACGTTGGTCAGTTAACCTATGTTCACTGAAATCAGACTCAGCTATCTGAGACCATGATTCTGCATTATCTGGCCGAAATGGCACGAGCTGAATGGTTTTGGCAGTTGAGTGAATA